TCTTAAAGGGATGTACTAGTTTTGTATGTTACTGTTAAATACGAATTTAAATAATTAGGTGCTACTTTTTACCCAAATACACTCAAATATTTTTTAAAATATTAATTTCAGTAAACAAATATTGAAATAAGAAAACTTTCAACTTTAAATTTAGATTTAGTAATTTAATCATTTGAAATTCAGTGGTAATTTATTAGGCCTATTCTAACTTATAATACTGCTAATTAAAATACTTAAAGTAAAGTTTTTTATTTGTACTTTTTCGATGAAAAATCCATCGGCCAAATATCCGTTCGGTCAAATGTCAGGCCACGGATAATGCCTAGGAGGATGACTCAAGCTTATCAATAAACACCACATAAGAAATTCGTAAAAATATGATACAAGATCGAGTTTACAGTGGGCTTCCTTCAACATGTACATGGATTAAGTGTAAAAATTGCTCCAGCCGCTTCAGTATTTTCCCTTTATGTTGGTAATGACCCTGAGCTCCTCCTGAAGGAAACCTAAAGGGGAAGGGCAATTGTGGCTTGAGTTTTTAGCCAATATGTCATTAGAGCAACCGCCATGAAAATATTTATAGAAAAGGCAACGGAAAGACACGTCCACCACGGCAGTAGGATAATGACTGAAGTCGAGATGCCAGGCCAGGGCCGATAACATTACAGACCCTTCCTATCGAGAGATAGCAGGAGCACTTGACCAGATATGGCAGCAATATTCAATGCACAGACGAATGACAGATTTACAAATGTGTAGGATTCTGACGAGAAAATTCTCTGGCACAACACAGTGAACCAACTTTCCTAGCAGTAGACTTAGCAATTGGTTCAATATAATCACCCCACTTCGTGTCAGTGGATAATGTGAGACCAATCAGACGCAATGAACTGTTTTCGTAGAGGTTAGCATCAGCCATGCTGATGGAAGATAAAAATGGTTCTCTGTGATGATTAAAAGAGAGTAGTTTCGTTTTGGATGCGGTAAAATTTACAAGCCATTTCTTGCCCCAGTAAACAACTGATTGGAGCCCATTTTCGAGAGCAGCTGCTAGTTTTACTTTGTCGGACATATCGAACATATTATTAAGACAGCAATAAATAATCAGCATAAATAACTAAATGGGAAGTGATAACATCGGAAAGGTGGTTAATGAAGATCAGAAACAACGTAGGTACAAGGATAGACCTCTGGGTGAACTCCCACATTAATGTGAAATGATCTAGAAGTGCGGCCGTTCAATGCGATCTTCATTACATAATTTGTTAAGAACGATCAGATTCAGTCAAATATTCGTCCCGAGACACCACTGAGTTTGTGAAGAAGACCAGCATGCCAGAACCTGTTAAACACTTTCGAGTGGTTTTATAAATATGTTGCTCAGTTATTCATATAACAGAGTGGTTATCACTTTCTGTGCCTGAATGGGAGTAAAGGGAAGTAACCAATGTTGACAGTTTAAATCGTTTGTTTTAAAACTCTTACAAATATTATAAATCATAAAGCTTACAAATATTATAAACTATAAAAATCTTTCAAATATTATAACTATAAAACTCTTACAAACATTATAAATCATAAAACTATTACAAATATTATAAATCATAAAACACTTACAAATATTTTAAATTATAAAACTCTTACAAATATAAATGATAAAACTCTTACAAATATTATAAATTATAAGAGAACGCATATGAAATAAAGTACTAAAATCTAAAAACTTATCGAAGTGCTTTAATTACGACAATTTCGCTAATAACCATTTTACGACAATGGCAAATCTCTTAAACAAAGAAACGACAGTGCATCTCAGCGTGTAGAAAATGCGACACCGAAATTCGAACACGCATTGGAGTAACGGAAGAAACATTCCAAAAGTTAAGCAAGGTGATGGGAAGCGGAAAACTTCGTTGTAAACAAAGAAAACTGTGCTGGGTTGCTATGTGTTATCCATCCTCTTATATGGCAGTGAATGTTGGACAATCTCCCACTAATGCGGAGAAAACTGGAGGTTGCTGAAATACGGTTCTAGAGAAGGATAGAGAAAATTCCATAGACGGAGAGGGTAAACAAGGAAGAAGTCTTAAAGAGCATGGCAACAGAAAGAACATTTCTACTCAGAATCAGGAAAAGTGAGCTGAAATTCTATGGACACATAATGAAGAAAGAGGGTTTAGAAAACTTAACCCTCATGGGGCATGTTGAAGGAAAGGAAAATAGGGGAGGACAGTGAACCACTTACCTGGCAAATTTGTGTAAATATACAGCGGAGCGGGTGACGGGTGGCAGGAGTGGGAGGGGGGCTTAGCAAAGGAAGGAAAACTGCTAAGAGCCATAAGAGTTGGATGCTCACTGGGTGCCGAACACTTCCGGTCTTGTGTCACAACTAGGCTACGCTTAGGAAATCATTTAGGGGCACCTCGACGTGGTGTAATGGTTAGCAAGCTTGTATCACAAGAACATTTACGACTGAGTAGTGAGTTCGATCCTCACTGGGTGCGCCACACTTTCGGTTTTTTGCCACATCGAAGCTAAGCTTAGAAAATCATTTAGGGGCACCTCGAAGTGGTGTAATGGTCAGCAAGCTTGTCTCGTTAGAACAATTACTACTGATCACTGAGTTCGATCCTCACTAGGTACCCCATAACTCCGGCCTTGTGCCACATCTAAGCCCCGCTTAGAAAATCATCGTAAGAGATAGGAAGTTGTGGAGAGCCATGATAATCTATGTTCTGAAGAGACGCAACACATAGAAGGGACAAGCTAAACAGAACAAAATAAAGACACTTGACGCGGGTAATGTCGGGTATCATTGCTAAAAAAATTTTCCCTGATTCTTACTAACCAGTTTTTTTTTATTGCCATGTCTCATCAGGAAGCAGGTGATGATGATGCTCTACAGATTTCTTTTTCCTTATTATCTATGAAATGACATGACTTTTTCAATATTCGATTAGTATCGCATTGTCTTCTACCCGGTTTATAAAAACAGAGTAATCTAGACAAGCTAGAACTGAAGGATAAAGCTTCCATTCCACTCTGATTCACTCATAGCTGATGGGGAGGGAGAGAAGAAATGAATTCATGCCTTCCCCGAGGTTATTAGTACAAAAGGTATACAAAAGAGCAGGTCGTAATTTGGACCCGGTTCACCAAATTCACTTCTGTGCCGTTGGACATTGATGTGAGGAAACGTAATTTTTAACAGAATTACAAACGTTTGACGTCCTGGGTAAGACGATAAACTACATCCAAGATTATTACCAGCAATACATTTTTGGAAAAAAAACATTATCAGTAATAAGAATCTTGTCGGCATTAAATAACCCGTTAAGGTTGATATGCCGTAAAACAAACCAAATAAAATCTTGAGTAAATGGATGGCGGAGAAAATTTTCGGTGAGATAGCAAAAAGACAAAATTTATTAAGAGCTACAAAGGACAGGAAATTGTGGAGAGTCATGATCGCCAACATCCTGAAGGGACACGGCAAATAGAAGAACAATAGTAATATCAGCCGTTTTTTTTATAAAGAAATATTCAGTCGAGCAGCCAGTACAATTGTCTCTTGAAATTTATAAAATCTTTCTCTTAAAAGAACATCCACTTCTTGGGTAAGATGATAACCTACATTCGACAACAAGGCTTTTGATCAGGAGGCTTTGAGGAGCGTAGAACCACCTCTCAATTGCTGGTGTTTCCAGGTACACTCTAATCCAGGATGGTAGCACCTGTCAGGGTCCCAGCTATGGGAAAATAGTTAGACCCCCTACAAAAAAGAGAATAAAACACTATGAAAGTATAAGAATAGGTTTTAAAACCAGCAATACTTTTTGAGAAAATTTTTACCAGCAATATTTTTTGAAAAAAATATTACCAGCAATAAAAATCTTGTCGCCATTAAATAACCCATCGAAGTTGATATTACGTAAAATAAAACAAGCCAAACCAAACCAAACCAAACAAAATCTTGAGTAAATGGATGGTGGAGCAAAATTTCAGTGAGATAGCAAAAAGAAAAATTTATTAAGAGCTACAAAGGACAGGAAATTGTGGAGAGTCGTGATTGCCAACATCCTGAAGGGACATGGCAAATAGAAGAACAATGGTAACGGTAATATCAGCCGTTTCTTTATAAAGAAACATTCAGTCGAGCAACCAGTGCAATTGCCTCTTGAAATTTATAAAATCTTTCTCGTAAAACAATTTTTCAGGAAAATAGGTTTCTCAAGTCCAGTAGCTGTTATTGCTCTTTCCAGTATTGATGGAGGTTTCCTTCCTAACCTTTTATTTGAAGTAGTGTGGAATGTCAACATTTTGATTATCTCATTGTTTTGTCGTCGAGTTACATGTTCTATCCATTTTACTAGTTGCCGCTGTTGGTAGTCCACAAATGATGCGGTTTCTGTTACGCGGTACAATTCTTTATTTGTGATCATGTAGCGCCAGTCCACGAGGTTTGAAGAAGGATGATCATCTCTAACACCGACATGTTTCATTCGCTCGAAGCCATTTTTAACCATTCGTCTGAGAAGGCGGTTACATTCAGCTGACAGTTTAGATATTTTATTTTGTCGCCATGAATGACATCTATATGAGAGTCTCGATCTGACAAGAATATTTAAGAACATGACTCGTCCTGGGTATGACGATAAACTACATCCAACAGCAAGGCCTTTGATCAGAAGGTTTTGAGAAGCGTAGAACCACCTCTTAATTGCTGGCGTTCCCAGGTCCACCCTAACCCGGTGTGGTAGCACTTGTTAGGGTCCCAATTATGGGAAAATAGTTATCCCCTCCCACATACACAGAAGGGGTCAAAACACTATGAATACGTTTTTTAGAAAAAATTACTAGCAATACATTTTTGAAAAGGAAAAAATATTACCAGCAATACATTTTGAAAAAATATTACCAGCAATAAAAATCTTGTCGGCATTAAATAACCCATTGAGGTTGATATGCCGTAAAACAAATCAAACCAAACCAATATATACTGAGATAGATAGATAGATAGATAGATAGATAGATAGATAGATAGATAGATAGATAGATAAAAAATATTACCAGCAATAAAAATATTGTCGACATTAAATAACCCACTGAGGTTGATATGCCGCAACACAAACTAATATATACTGAGATAGATAGATAGATAGATAGATAGATAGATAGATAGATAGATAAAAAAATATTACCAGCAATAAAAATCTTGTCGGCATTACATAACCCATTGATGTTGATATGCCGTAAAACAAAACAAACCAAACCTAAGAACATAACTCGAGGTTTTGTTTTTGCAGCAATTTGTGATGAGTGAAACGACCTCTAGTACAAACTATTCTACGTTTAATTTTCCTATCTCCTATACTAAATTTGCTATAACTAAGCTATATACTGAGGTAATTAGTTAGAATAGGATTATCTTAATTCGATATAAAGCCAAACTGAAAAAGGATTAAAAAAAAGTTAGAATGCTAATTTGGAAGGGCATGGAAATCCGTGACTATTTTAATCGGCTAAATAACAAAACTTACTTGATTTCTAAACAGTGACTAAATACTAACCGTTACTAAAACGATCTACGTTTTTAGTCATTTTTCAGTTTATAAAAGCTTTAAATTTTTGAGAGGTTAATTTTATAGTATAAATATTTTTTTTATCGTCAGTTACATTCATCTGCTTTTATTGAATTTATTTTTACAAAAAAAATTTGTTTTTCGCTTATCGTCTGCATCTTACCAATGGCCGCGTTTTATGCTGGTGGAATCTTGTAAAAGTTTTCTGTCCCAAGGCGCAAGCACATTGTTATTTTTCTTTGCCAGATACATTTTTCTCTCTTATTTATTTCCCTCGAGAAATTCCGGTCACTGGAGTTCTGACAGAAGATTAATCATTTATATGAACACCTTGTTATCATGTCATATTATATATATATATATATATATATATATATATATATATATATATATTAATATTTTACCTAGAAATCATTCTTATTCTTATGCTGAGTTTTACTAAGATATGTTTGGTGCAAGGCCACATTTAAAGAGAATGAATATATTGTTCTGATCTTCCGAAGAAAGGTTGAACAGCCTTCTTGTCCCCAAAATTCAAGATTTTAGCCATAACTGGCACCAATTGAATGCATACTAAACAGAATAACAGGGGAGGTCCATAAGATTTATACTAAGTTGTTTGATTAATTTGAAAATACTAGGGTGAACAAGATCGCCATCATATTAAGCATGTTTTAGTTCCATGCATTCACGCTGACGGTGTTTCATTCATTTTGACGCGTTCATTGCCAGTACGGGCATTTTTTTTACTTTCATTACAAGACAAGCAACGTTTCTACAAAGATTTATAATAATTTTTTTGTAGATTTATATATTTTTAGACTTGAAAAAATTGTTTAAATATAAATTGAAGAAGATAGATATTATGTTAAAATATTGTTTAACATTATCAAACACTGTTTTTTTCTTTTCTTTTGCTTTTCTTAAACCTCGCTCTTCTCTTAACTGTTGAAAAATATTGTAAGAGTTACGTCAATCATTATGTTTCTTCTATTTCTTCTTCTTCTTATTATTATTATTATTATTATTATTATTATTATTATTATTTGTATACAGATTTCCTTCGGGGTTCCAACCAGAGACCCAAAGCCAGAAATGTTTTCATGACATTTTCTACTTATCATTCAAAAAAAAAATGTAACATCACGTACATTTTACATAGATAAAGCTCTTCGTAATGTGTGAGCAGTACTTGTCAGTAAAATCTTTTGTATTTCTTTAAGGCATGGACTACCAGGAATCCCTTCAATGAGTCCATCGGAACTTTCTCCAATCAATCCGAGTGCTCCAACAACAACTGGAATTATTGATGTCCTCATGTGCCACATTTTTGAGATTTCCACTTCAAGATCCTTGTATTTTGATAGTTTTTTGAAGATCTTCAAAGATACATTACAATCTGCAAGGACTGCCATGTCAATAAGAAAACATTCTGTTTTTGTGGTCTTTGATCACGATGTCTGGATGATTAGCTTTGACTGTTCTGTCTGTGTGCATTGTAAAAACACAAAATTGTTACAGGTCCTATCTCTGTAATCGGATCTGGGTTATGTTCATACCAGTTTCTTAAAGTTTCCTTTCCGTAAAAGTTGCATATTTTCCAATGCAGATATTGGCACATTCTATCATGCTAAGTTTTATATTCAGTGGGTGCCAATACCGTGCAGCCTGATATAAGAAGGTTAATTGTTTCTGGATATTTATCACAGAATCTGCATTTGGGGTCAATACAATCTTTCAGTATGTGTGCTTGGTAATTTCTAGTTAGCAAGCATTGGTCCTGTGCAGTAAGTATAAAAGCTTTGGTTTCAGCGTTTAACCCTGCGCTACGTAAACACTGATTGATACGGGGTTTGTCTACATCAGCTTGTTTGATACGGGAAGAGTATTGACAATAAAGCGGCTTATCTTGCTATCGTTTCTGCATTTGGTAAATGGCATTTGTTTATTTTTATTTTATTCTTTGCCGATGCAGTAGGTGTATTATGGTTTAATTGCACTTATTTCACCCACTTGACAATCCCGTTTGAATTTGTTGGCTCCTTTTATTACTGAACAAAGTTTCTTATTTCTTTCATGTTCTTTGACACAGATCATCATCCAGTCTTCTGTAGTATCCAGATATCTTTGAAGACCGATTTTTGTGGCTTTGTAAAAGAGTTCTAGTAGAACTAATCTTCTGCCTCCTTCGGATATGGGCACATATAGACGATTAACATCAGTTTGGGATGATGCATACTGTAGCAAGTGAGAAACTTTCTCGTTTTGGCGTCCATTCGTTTAATGTCAGCTATGGTCCAGTTAAGAATGTTAAAACTGTATTGCACACCAGGGACAGCCAAAGTGTGATACTCTGTTTTGTGAATTTGACTCGGTATTTAGAACCAGACACACACGCTTGTAGTATACTTTTCTTACTTTCTCCTTCATTTGGGTTTTCTGTATTCCATCTCTTTCTGTTGCATAGACCTCTGGTGAGGGTGATCTCATATCGTCTTTTCTCTCCCCGTGATCGCTGATTGTTTTGGTTCAGCAATGAAAGACTTCAAATTTAATTTAAATTTAACTATTTTTATTACTCATGTTAACATGTACATTATCTAACTATCCAGTGGGGGGGGGTCACCTCCCCTCACTGTGGGGCCGTTTCGGACACGAAAGAGAACACGTCTACATTGTCTGATAGGTAAGAACCAACTCTCCCAAATCTTTCTTCTATCCTTCCTACTTCAGCCAATAAAATTGACTTCCCTATTATGGCTCATATTTGACCCCGGTTGTCAACCTCCGAAAGTCGGAGCCGATATACACTTTCCCTAAAATTAATAGTCTACTAAACTATTAAGTAACACTTCGCTGAAGGAGAAAATAAGAAAAGAATACTACAGGTGTGTGTGTCTGCTGTTAAATACTGAGTTGTTGTTGTTGTTCTTGTTCTTCTTCTTCTTCTTCTTCTTATTATTATTATTATCATACCATTTCTTATGGACGACAATCCAAAATTAAAATCATCCTGTGTATGATGATAAATTACATCCGTATCCCGGGTAAGACGATAAACTTCATCCAACTGAAAGGCCTCTGATCAGGTTTTGAGGAGCGTGGAACCACCTCTTAATTGCTGGTGTTCCCAGGTGCACCCTGACACGGGGTGATAGCACCTGTTAGCGTCCCATACATACATAAAAAATATTACCAGCAATAAAAATCTTGTCGGCATTAAATAACCCATTGAGGTTGATATGCGGTAAAACATAACAAACCATACCAAACCAAAATTAAAAGATGACTGGAATCTGGTAGATCATCTCTCTATTTGAAACTAGCTCAATTGAGAAAAAGCCTGGTTTTTAACTTTCAATACCTAAAAAAAAAACGGGCGAATATCGGGTCATCATCAGCAATTGCCACTGATATTTTTTCTAACGGCAATAAATGGTTATACTCAGACTCTCGATGAGGCTTCATGTTAGCAACGTGTACTGGATCTAAACTTCACTCCTGACCTCAAGTGGAACTCATTCTGTCACAACATGAAGGGCCCGACACCTTCCGTGCTTCATCTTTACAAGAGTCAGATTAGACCATCTGCTGCTATATCTGGTCTGTAGCCGTTCAGTTCTTACTTTCCGACATTGATAGAGTTCAAAACCGATTACGATGTCTTGTGGAAGACATATTCTTCACTCTGCAACCTCGTCCCTCCCACCCACAAACGCAAGATTCCAAGCCGATCGTTACTCTGTAATTATTTCAGTCGTAAATGTTCAGATGAGTAGTAACTCTTTCAGTCTTCAGCGAAAGGTGGGTGACAGAGGCGAGCTTGGTTCGTTTGAACGGGGCTAGCCTTGATTTACTCTTTTAGGTCAACCTACGTTATATCGGGGTGGTTTCCTGTGGAGCCCTCCCCTTGGTTAGGTTAGACAAGCTTTTGTGTACCTAGTTAATGTGAGTAAGTGTTGTTCCTGGCCTGTTCCCGGCTGCACCTTTGGTTATGATCCAAGTTGAGATTCCCAACCTCCCCAGTTTGTTTTGGCCCCTTTTTATCTCGACTGGGTCAGCTTTTTTCTTTCTCATGTCCGTATAATTTTCTCCTTTCCCCACTCCCTTAGCGAGAGAACCTCTTGATTGTGACCAATTGGCAGAATACAGCGGCTTCTCTCTTTTTGGGGAGTTGGACGGACCCTACTAACGTCAGTTATGTTTAGTTTATTTTGTGTTCATGTTTAGATTGTTATTGAGTTCATCTCCCTTCCCTCTCATTCTTCATCTTTAGATTTTTATGGATAATAATTTATTATCATTAAATTTTTATGGCATGGGGTGCGTTTTGTTGGTCCCCCTTGAGATGATGTGGTATTATGGTGTATGGAGGATTGATTGGTGACGGACGAATTTTTGTGGTGAATGTGCAAATTGTAATGAGTGAATTGAGCTTACGGTCAAATCAGGCTGAAAACACCGGTTCTCGTTCGATCACCGAAGTTAAGCATCGTAGAGCCAGGTCAGTACTTAGATGGGGACCGCTTGGGAACACCTGGTACTGTAAGCCCCCAAAGTCCAAAGTCCAACCCTTACCTCACAGTCGGTGGGGGGGTGTAAACGGTAGTGTCAGATTTATGCCGCCCGGAACTTCGTTCCTGGTAGGGCCACCCAAGGTGGACAGGTCTGACACACACACGCCGGCTAACAAGGGCTCTGGTGAAAATCCAAGGAGCGTCTGATCGGCAACCGGCGGCTTCTGGTCGTTCCTGTCTCTGCGTCTGGGGGAACCCCGCGGCAAGCAAGAACGTTATTCGAGTAGGCCTGGGTACCCTACTTCTGTAATTTATCCCAAGAATCTCTTTCTCATAACAGGAAGAAGCCGGCTCAATCCGCCCAGGGTGAATGCCGCATCAGTACAGTACAGTAGTAATGAGTGAATGGGTCGTGAATCGGATTAGCTAGGTATAAGATAGTGAAGACCAGCCTTAACCCCTCCCCTTTTTTCGGCCTTGTGCCATAATTGTATTTTTATATACAATAAATACCAGTAATTCCTTCAAATGATACTCGAGCTAGTAATACTTGTTCGAATAGTAACCGCCGAATAGTAATCCGTAGAGTGATTAGTATAGAGAAATAATATAGAGGATAGTACAGAGAATAGCGATTACTTAGATACCACGGTAATTCCCATTTATATCTTTCCTTTACGATCATGTGATCTACTTATATAATAATGGAATCGTCCGTGTTTACCCACTGGTGATCTGTGTTCAAACTCCAGTGTCGGCAACCACACTTTATCCCTATATGACATAAACCGTTTCAGCTAGGACACGCCATGCCACTTCCACGGAGTCGAATCACACCCATTTCCCCAGTATTCCAAATGGGAAAAGGGAATTTCACTCAACGGCTTTTTCTCTAGAACTGCTATTTTGTAGAACAGATTCCCACGTGGATGCTTCCCCAAACACTTCAATCTTGACATCTACAAATCAAGGATCAATCATTATCTATCCTCCTAATCCTCGTAATCATCACTTTCTACCACATTCACTTTCATTCATATCACCCACCTTATTCATCATTACCATTTTAGCAATAACTTTGAGTGGCTCACGGGTCTTGTAATAGGCGAATTTCAATTTTAAAATATATCCATCTATCGTAATGGTCTGCTTGCTTGAGTTCTTGTTCAGGTTCCTGTGACCGGTGTTTAAACTTAAATCAACCCCATGATATCGAACGCTGATTTTCAAAGCAGCCAGTTCTTTCCCCTGAGAAAGATAACAACCGTTTAATTTTTTTCATCTTTCAGTGCAATCGTATACTGGTAAAATCTTTTGTAAATATTTTTTTATCACTACGACAGTGAGATTTTATTTTAATAATTTTTTAAAGAATTTCGCAACTTAATGTAGATATTTATTAAGCTTAGTCTGACACAAGGCCAATCACATAGGTGTTCTGTAAAATTTGTTTGATTCTAGAAGGTGAGTAAAATACCAAAAGTTGGTATTCAGAGGTTTTCCGCCATCTTTCAGTATTTTTCACACTGGTTGCACCGTATCCCAGGTAGAGAGGGAGCTTTTTATTTCCCAGTCACAACTTTCAAATGATACTGCTCCATTTGTGGGTGTGGTATTGATTTGAACCTCCAAATATGTTACTAAAAATAGATTGTTGTGAAAAGAATTTGTTGCGTTATTCTAAAGGCAATTCGGAATATAATAAACACGCCTTTTGTTTCATAACTGCTGACGTCATGATAATTTCTGTAATTTTCGAAAAATTACTTTAGCTTGCCAATAGAGGTACATACTTTTTTGACTTGAGTACACAAATATTTCAAAGTATATTCCGGGTGAATTCTTTGTGTAATAAATAAAGCTATTTCAGTGAAACATTTCGTTCGTCCTGGGTATGATGATAAACTACATCCGAGTCCTGGGTAAGACGATAAAATACATTCAACTGCAAGGCCTCTGATCAGGAGCATTTGAGGAGCATGAAGCCACCTCTTAATTGCTGATGTTCCCAAGTTCACCCAAACCGGGGGTGGTAGCAGGTTCCTGACTATAGACAAATAGTTAACCTCCAAACGGATCAAAACGTGTAAAAAATAGGTTTTAATACCAGCAATACATTTTTGTAAAAAATTATTACCAGCAATGAATATTTGAAGAAACAATTATTACCAGCAATACATTATTACTAGCAATACTTTTTGCAAAAAATATTACCAGCAATATATTTAAAAAAAATCTTACCAGAAATACTTTTTGAAAAAATATTACCAGCAATAAAAATCTTGTCGGCATTAAATAACTGATTGAGGTTGATACGCCGTAAAACAAAACAAACCAAACCAAACTAAAATCTTGTCGGCATTAAATATTCCAATATTCCATTGAGGTTGATATGCCGTAAAACAAACTAATTATTTCGTTTACTTACTTTTCAAACTCTTACGTTTTTTACTTTTGTTGTATGTACAAAAAATATCGAAAAGGAAAATTAAAATAAAAGATAAAAGGTAAATGAATATCCCTGCAAAATTTCGAAAACTTTGAGTCATTAATTGGAGCGAGAGACCTCCAAGGCATTTTGAAGTTGGCATTTTGAAGTTGGAGTGTAAAAAAAAGCGTTTTACAACTCCAATTAACCTGCCTGCGATAGGGTTAACACCCGTAATAAATCCTTCTCTCTCAAACTAAATAAACTTCAAGAATTTATTGCTTGCCTTACAGAGTCTAGCAGAATAGATTTAACAGAATGGTCGCGGTAGCGAAACAGTTGTTATAAATCATTAATGTTAGAATGTTTCTAGAAATATAAATTTATCAGTTGAAAATTTTTATAAATATATTTTAGATTTTTAATATGGCCGACGTCTTCAGAAAAAAAAAGCGATTTCTTAACCTAGAACTATAAAGTCAGAATAAACAGTTTGACCTCCAGATAATTTTTAATTCAATTTTACCTTCAAGACACTGTTGGGATTTCTCTAACTCAGCGTTTGCCAGACGGTGTGCCTGGGTGCACTGATGCAACCAGGTGCGCCTCAAGTTAACAGAAGAGCAATTTATGAATTATTCTTATATTTAAATCTTCATTTATAAAAAAAAAAAAAAAAAGCTACAAACACCAAGCACATGTTGTTGCGGGTGTATGCTGGTCGAGTATTTAGGTGGAAAACACGGGTCTCCTGAAATGTTTATCCCACAACAAAAATGGCGGACTCAGTATGCGATTCCGGGTAATAAAATACAAAGAAACAGCTAAAGCCAATATATATACAAACAAACGATAATATATTATTAACAAGACCAAAAAGTTACATAGTTGCGAGCGACAAAGACAGTGACATTATATGCATTTGCCAAAACAATGAATATGCATGAAAACATTTAAACACTAGTGAATTGTTCGTGTATATAAAATGTGTGTAGAATTCCTAGGGAAAATGAAATGAAAGGTGCGTACGCGCGTGCGTGTGCGTCCCCCCGTGGGGAAAGCGTTTTCCTCATTCGAATTACATCTTGCCGTCCCTGAGTGAAAAAGGAAATAGAGAGTGATGGAAAATATTACAGTGTATTTATAGGTTCAGAAAGCGTCATCTAGTGGCAGTTTTTTTTTTTTTTTTTTTTGTTAGGAAAGTAAGTGGAGTAACTCCACAATGTCTTCTATATTTAAGTCAAGTCTTTTTCATTTGATATTATAAACTGGATGTTAAATTCCTTAATCTTTAATAAGGAGGGGATCAACGTTTCATTTTTGCTTTCCTCAAGGCATAATATACAAGGCCTATCATACAAAAAGTTACCTAAACACATCAAGCACAGTTTTCACACAAGCAGACTTAAATATACAATGTAATGTCTTAAAAATAAATACTTATTTCAGCAGACTTCTTTTTTATCTTACTATTTTCAAATTCCATGACTAATTTTTCTTATTAAATTTGAAAGTGCGAGTTTTAGTTATTTTACAAGTGCGCTCTGAAGTAAATAAACAAAAAAAAAACAAAACAAAACATGCGTGTGACGTTGTGTGTGTATGTGTCTGTTTGCGTATGTGTGGGTGTCTGTTATTATGGTCGCTTTTTGCCATATTATTCTATTCTGAATTAGAGAGTGATCACCATATTTTAGGAAACGAAAAAAAATGGTAGTTCCATCTCTCAGTAAAAGCAGGAACTGCTTCAGTTCACGCGCTGTAAATAAGAAATTTTAAAACTGCAAAGATAAGAATTCGTGAAAACGATATAGAATCATAAAAGGAGAGATGTAATGTCAGAACTCAAGAGAAAAAAAAAGAAAAAAATGTCGGAAAGATTGTCACATTCTTTTCGTGTTTTGTTCATTTTATGAAAGTTTGTTGTTTAATGTTTTTGCTTTTTACTCGATTTTATCATTTGATGAAAACGAGGCTTGATATAAAATGATTTGCTCATCCTTGAGAATGACATCGTGTTTTTCTTTTAATAATGTTATAGATAGAGGGATAGATAGATATATACGAACAGACTGAAATAGATAGATAGATAGATAGATAGATAGATAGATAGATAGATAGATAGATAGATAAACTACATTTTAAAATTCAACAAAACAGTTAAGAAACTATTTAAAATTGTACACAAATCTTAGACTAGATTAACAGAATAGCACCCTGCTATACCCACATGATATGGCTTACCCGAAACACACAAACCCAACATATCCATCAGACCCTTTGTATCCAGCATCAACAATGCACCCGACAAATTATTTCAAAAATCCTAACTCTACTGTTAGGCACCAGCAATCCAACTCGCATTAAATCCTCTTTAAGTTACAATGAATCTATGATTTTCTTTCATCTTCCTTTATTCCTCTTTTCTATTGCAAGCCTTTCTTGCCGTTTTCTCTAGCTATTCTCATTCACACATTCCACCTCCTTCCTTCTTCTTTGTGTCGTGTCCCTTCAGGATGCAGGTGATCATGGCTCTCCACAACTTCCTGTCCATTGAAGCCCATAGTAAAGTTTCGCTTTTTGCTGTCTCTCCTAATCCCTGTTCTGCTTACCATTCACTTAAACTCGTCAGGCAGGGGTTATGCACTGTTTTCCTCTGGCTCTCCTGCCTTCAAAATGTCTTGGATGTGTCAAATTTTCCAAGCACTCTATCCTCATTATCTTCCGTATAAATTTCAACTTTTTCTAATGTTAAGCGAAAGTGCACTTTTTGTTTCCAATTAGACTGTGTAAATCTAGAAATCGACCATATTATGAAGATCGCTTGAGGTGAGAAATAGACAGTCACTATGCAGCTATTATTTCAATGTTTACATTATTTCTATCTACAGACAATCTCCGATACTGAACCTATTTTCTTTAACAAATTTTATACAATATAATCTATCTATGAACAATATAATATATATATATATATATATATATATATATATATATATATATATATATATAAAAAGAAAGAACAGTAAGACATAAAATCCGGTGTTCTTATAGATATTTTTATTTTTACAAAATAGTGCTCAATGTAAATTTACAGAGACATTAATATTATAATTAATTGATTTAAAATATGTTTTTTTCGCTACACAGTTCTAAAAAAAAAAAATAAATAAATTTAGTTCCATTTCATCTTCAAGCGAATCGCTTGAAGATGAAATGGAACTAATGCTTTTAATTTAATTGCAAAATTAAATTCGGGGTTTTTAGCTTCTATTTTTGAAACATGGTTGGAACTGTGTAGCGAAAAAAAACATATTTTAAATCAATTAATTTATGATATATATATATATATATATATAGTGTATTTAGGCAGCAATACTTCTTTCATGCACATTTCATCGAAAACGAGAGACAAGGTGCTTTTAATTAGTTTTTTATACAATTTCTCATGCGATGTAAAAAAATTTTCTTTTCGGATGATAAATTATATAAAAACTGTTCGAATGTTCTTTTCATCCGAGCGCTTTCGGCTATACATTTAGCCATTTTCAAGGGTTACATTTTAACTGTTAAAATAAGAAATAGTTTGTTGTATGCATGTTTTATAAAATGTTTTCATTTTTTTTCTGTTTCAAAACACGGTCAAGATATTATGTCCATGTTCAAAGTTAACATTATTAAGTGTTGGTTTGTTTGTTTTTATTAATAAGGCTTACATTATTTTTAGCCTTTTTTGCATGTAGATGATGCTATTATATTAGTGTTGTCGACAAGTATGTTACAAATAGTGTCCGGTAGGATTCCATGAATATTTAAATGAGATCTAATTGAGCTATGGTCCGAAAGGTATAGAGTTAGTCTTCGTGTCAAACATGTTGTACTGTTTATATATATATATATATATATATATATATATATATATATATATATATATATATATAAAAGAAAGAACAGTAAGATATATAATCTTATTGATATTTTTTCATTTTCACAAAAACAGTGCTCAATGTAAATTTACAGAGCATAAATATTATAAATTAACTGATTTAAAATATGGTTTCCTCGCTACACAGTAATAACCATGTTTCAAAAACCGAAGCCAAAAAACTTCAAATTCAAAAAAAGAAACCATATTTTAAATCAGTTAATTTATTATATATATATATATATATATATATATACTAGAATAATCCTAAGGAGCCAGGCAAACCTACCTAGGTTTCACCTAAACGGATCTTCAGGGTAAAACTGGATAAAAAAGAAAATAACGGAAAAGTACTTATTGATAAAAAACAAATAAAACCATAACCACGAGACAAAAAAGGGTATGATATATATATATATATAAAAGTGAATATTGAAGTCAACACCCAGAGGCGATAGGTTATTTCATGCTAGGCGCAATCATCAGGCCGCGAATGTTGGCTTTTTTCTCGTCTATTTATATGTATCGGTCAGTGGTGCATTGTGGGTAATCTATTCTGGCGGTTATTTTTGCGGGGGTGGCTTGTTTGCTTATTTATATATTATTTATATATTCTATATTATATGTTTGTTTATATTATATATTATTTATATATTCTATAATTAAATTTAAGTTTTAGTTTCTGTTTTTGAAACATGGTAATTCCTGTGTAGCGATGGAACCATTATTTTTAAATTAGTAAATTTATATTGTTTAGGCATTGAGCACTGTTTTTTGTAAAATAAAAATAATTTATAAGAACACCAGATTATAAATATTACTGTTCTTTCTCATTAAAATCGAAGTCACAAGTCATTGTGACCGAGGATTTGAAAATACTTGCGTTTAGTGGTGAATATAACAGATTGTGCAGCATCTCCAAGAAGCTGTTAATAAGGTCCGCTCAAAATAGCAGTATGAATCACAGATGGGTGTTTGTTAAACAAACAAACATAATTGTGTTTGCAACAGGGATTGACAAGCCATCCTAGCGAACGAATGTGCTCGGAAAACGTGAATAGCCAGCCATTACACACACACACACACACACACACACACACACACATATATATATATATATATATATCAGTCAGTCAGTTCTGTGCCATGCGAGATACACAGTTAGGCGACCATATATCTTTCGATACATGACTGACGAGGTAAATTTTTTCCCGCAGTTTGTTGCCATTTCTTTCTGTGGTAAAACATACATATATATATATATATATATATATATATATATATATATATATATATATATATATGAAGACAAAAGAAAAACTTATATTCGCCGGCGCGTTTCGTCCTCTTTTGTGTTCGGTGTGTTGTTACTCTCTTTCTCCTTATGAGCTCTGTTAAAAACATGTATTGTTAATAGCAAAAATTGCAATATGAGTACTAGTAAAAAATGATTGCTGAAGACATTAGATTTATAATACCCAGAAATTCATACGCAGATGTCCTCAAGGACACATGGCACAGTGGATAAAGGCTTGACAGTGACAGAACCGAAAGTGTGTGAGTTCAATACTCGGTTAAGGCAGTGGAGAACTTTCAGAGGGAAATTAACAGGAGATAATTGATAACTGACAACCATTAAACATGGCACGAGGAACTAGAAATAAAGGGCGTGAGCGAAATAAAGGGTTCAGTTCGACATTCCAACCATCTGAAGAAGGTGGGAGCGTACAACGACCGAAACGTTGTAATAAATATGGCGACAAAGATGAGGACAGTCCGAATAATGTAAATAATGTACATAATACATGATCTCAGAAATATAGACAGATACGAAACACCGAGTGGGAAATAACAAAAGGAATTAATTGGAATCTGAGTCTTGAGCGAGTATCATCTCTTTTCACTTGTTACCGTCAAGCAAAGGAAATTGCGCAATGAAGACGAGTTCCAATTCAACTCAACTCAACACACTATGCTGAATATATCAAATGCAAAGGTGAATTACTAAGCGTGATAATCACCCAAGACTGTGATGATTATAATGCGATGATGATGGTTTCGCTGCCGAAAATGGCATGATATCAGACAATTCAATGTATCTATTTTAAATCTGATCACTTCTCTTACCCTATATTTTAACATGTTCAGTCCTTAAAGAAAAAATCATTTCGAGGTCATCCTACCGGCTCATGTTTAATTCTTCCTTCTTCCCTTTCTATTTCTTCCTCCCTCTCCTTCTATCTCCCCCGCTTTCTTTCTCTACCCCCCACCATTTTTTTAAAAAAACCTTATATTGAAATATTTATGTTTCTTTCTTCTTCTTTTCATATTAGAACTTTTTCCTTTTCTTTTTTCCTCTCCCTTTCCCTTTCGTCTGGATAAATTAACTCCATTAAAATGAAAGAGATAGAGAGAGTGGGGGAGACGGATATAGGAATCAACACCGCATGGTGACTGTCAATTTCACACTTCAATTCAATTAAGGTATGTTCCTGTAATTCAAAATTATTCTTATGTGCCATAAATGATTACTATTTAGGGTGATGCATTCATCTTAGTCTTGATTCTACAAGACGAAAATAACTTATGACTCAATCTAATAGAAAATTTACAGTTTGTTGACAGTATTAACATCAATTAAAATGCAAGTTTAGGTCTTCAGAAGGTCCGTTGTTAAGGAGCAAATATCGGCGATTCTGTAGCTGCAGAACATTGCAAACTTTTCTTATTTTAATTTCGATAAGGTTTTTTATAGAATTCGAACCCAACAAAGTGAATTCTATCAAAGCTTGTTTTTTTCTCTTTAACGAAAATGCCAAAAATACAAAGATTTATAAGAATAAAGGAATCATTCGGATTAATGAAATTAACGAATTTTTTAAAAGTTATTTTTATAGCAAGCATTACCCGTACTGAGTTGGGTATTTCGACGTGGCATAATGATGGTTAGCAAGCTTGTCTCGTTAGATCAATTGCGACTGCGTAGTGAGTTCGATCCTAATTGCGGCCTTGTGTTACATCTAAGCTACGCTTTGTAAATCACCATAAGTGTATTGAGAGTCGGGTGCTGAACACTTGTTGGCAAGCAGCCAACAGCAAATCCCTCCTAAAGAAACCTCGTCGGTGGGGATTGCAAAATGCACAAGTTGATTCTATTTTCGTTGTCGCTGTTGCCGTGAAACTGATCTTCTCTCCCAGTAGTCGGCATTTATTCGATCCTCATTTTTCTGTTGTTCCCTGCACAGAAACCACAAGCGGTTCACCTTCCAAGTCTGCAATTAGCGCATCCACTCACTCAGCGTCTTACAAGACGAACATTGGTGAGTGTTAGGTTTCAAATCTCCGATGTAATAAACCGACATGATACTGTGTCCCTGATAATCAAATTACTGTTAACTTTCAGAGTCTGCTTGTTTGACTCTTGGATGCTACATCTTGTTAACCTGAAAACTGACTGCTTAAAACAACTCAGTCCAAAATGAATCATTATGACTATGGCGGAAAAATAATTCTCAAAGTTTTTGTTGTAATGCCATGTCCTTTCAGGACGCAGGCAATCTTTAATTTTCTCCATAGATTCCTTTACTTTGTTACCTGTGAATTTCTAACATTTTGATAATTATAGTCAACTGGTTTCCTATTGTCTCCGCCATGATATTGAATTCCGAGCAGTCCTTCTCTTAGATTGGTTGCAACCCAAAGAGGCCATTCACCATTTAAGCCATAGCTAGTGGGGAAAAGAGATAAGTCTCATACCTTTTTCAAGTGTAACTCTAAAAATTTCGGACACAGCTTACCAATTCCCTTTTCGGCATCCTTAGCAATTATGCTACCCGAACATTCTAGGTATCAGTAGCTATTAAAAAAAGATTAGTTTATGGTGGAACAGGTTAATAATATTCGGGTAGCCAATAAGAGTCGAACTTGGTACGTTCGCACTGGCTTTACAGACTAGCTTTTTTATGTGACTACGGTGGCCCTCAGTAATTAACTCAAGACTTCAAAGTTAAATAAAACAGTATTTAATTCAACCGCAAATAAATATTTAAGAACAAAGAGGTAAAAAAGTCAGCCAAAGATAAATAAGTGAATACCTTGTTAGCATTGCGACTCGGTCTAACGTCCGATAAATACTAAATCAAAACATAAATCATCGACGCACAATAATTCACACTAATTCGACTGGATAGTTCCACTTAATAGTCACTCAATAATCACTCCACTCAGTAGCCTGACACCGCTATTTATACACCTGGCGGAAATATTCATAAGTCCAAAATGTCGATAGTTATTCATTTTCTTCCTACATGACACATTTTAGCCATTCTTCTGTGGTAGATAGCTAGATCTATGCTTATGATATCGCATTATCGTGTGCACGATTATATTTTGGTTAAATTTAAGGTGGCGACAAAAATTAAATCTGAGAGCTTGAAATTTACATGCGATTCAGCATGATCGAAATATTTGTAGAAACTAGACCGGTTGTGAGCATTAGGATTTCCCAATGTGGCATTAACAAATTCTAAACACTTCAAATGCATCGGTGTATAGATCAGTTATAACAAATTTTATTATTTTTTAAAATCATTTCATCCCATGCAAGGCGATAAAGCCACTAAGACGCAAAGAGATACTGACAGATCTGAGAACACCGAGAAAACTTTACTGAGAAGAAAATACAATAAAAAGAAGAAAATTCAACGGAACAGACGATGATTGACGTTGAATTTAAATTTTTGAAAATTGTACACTATTTACATTATTCAGACTATTGTCCTCATCTTTGTCGCCATATTTATTACAACGTTTCGACCGTTGTACGCTCCGGCCTTCTTCAGGTGGTTCTCAAGGACACATGGCACAGTGGATAAAGGCGTTAGTTAGATTCGGTGACAGGACCCAAAGAACAGTCTACCCCAGTGAGCGAAATAAAGGGTTCAGTTCGACATTCCAACCACCTGAAGAAGGCAAGAGCGTACACCCGCCGAAACGTTGTAATAAATATGGCGACAAAGATGAGGACAATAGTCTGAATAATGTAAATAGTGTATATAATACCTCATCTCAGAAATATAGACAGATACTTAAAGGCCGAAACGTTGTAATAAATATGGCAACAAAGATCAAGACAATAGTTCGAATAATGTAAATAGTGTATATAATACCTCATCTCAAAAATATAGACAGATATTAAAAATTGTAGTTTACAAGAAAGCAAGAGGCCAGAAGAACAGTTTTATACACCAGAAGTGCGAGAGAAGAAACTATTAGTATAAAACTTACGGTGCATCTTAATAATTTCAACTGTAAATCGATTAGACTTACGCTTAAATTCGTTGAGATACCAAACAGGAACGCCCATCAGATCAATTGCCATGAAAATATCTTTAGAAAAGACACAGGGAAGACGTGTTACAGCGTTGAGAAATTAACTGAAGCCGAGATGCTAGGTCAGGACCAATAACATTGCAGCTTTGTAATGTGGGATCTGGCAAGACAACATTTAACTCGACAGAATCAGTCGTGATAGTAGTAGCTAATACTCAGCTAGTCACTGCAATAGTATTATTTTTTCTTTTTAGACAATTACCCAGGACTACTTATCATGAACGGATCATTCATGATAGTAAGAAGGGTAACTGACTTACTACAATATTTTCCCTTTTTTGAGACTTACGATGGAAAGTAATTTTGAGACTTACCTATGGAAGTTATACTTTGTTATTTTTGGTTTAAGATCAAACACTAATGTAGTCTGTCGCTTCCTTTTACTCGAGCGTTTGGCTTTCGAAGCTATCAGGAGTATAGGTACATCGAAAACGTCACACAGGACCACCATCGGCTACTCCTCTTGGGTACTCTGTTCGTACCTTTTTTTATTATTATTTGATTTAGATGTCTTTCATGCACCTATGCAAACCTTTCCGATACGTCTCTTGACTACACTATTTATATTGTTCGGACTATCATTCTCATCTTTGTTGCCATATTTATCACAACGTTTCGGCCGTTGTACGCTCCGGCCTTCTTCAGGTGGTTTATTTCGCTCGCTGGGGTAGACTGTTCTAGTTCTACGTGCCAAGTCTAATGGACGTCAGTTATCAGTTACCTCCTGTTAAATCACCTCTCCAAGTTCTCCACTGCCTTAACCAGGTATTGAACTCACACTGTCACTGGATCTAACCAACACCTTTATCCACTGTGCCATGTGTATGAATTTCTCGGAATTATAAACTTAAGGCAGTGATTTATAGAACCTTCTTTGTGCTTATGCAACATTACGGCACCGATACCGTAGTTACTAGCATCGCTCGCCACGATTATTTCTAATTTTGGATCAACATGCGAGAGAAACAAGTCCAATATAAGAATCTTTTTAATTTTTTCGACTGCTTTTTAGCATTCGGTCGTTCAATTCCATTTAGAGTCTTTTTTTTTAGTAATTTATTTAATGATACACATAAAAAATGCATAATGACCTGCGAAACCTAAAAATGCTTGTAAAGATGATACATTTGTTGGAGAGGGCATATTTTTTAATCACACTTACTCTGGTTGGGTCCGGTTTTCAACAGTTTTCATTGATAATTTTGCCCAAATATTTACTTTTCGTCATGAAAAAACTTGCATTTCTCATTACTCAATTTAAACGCGTATTCGTTTATGTTTTTAAATACCTCATTTACTGAATATGCTGCTCTCGATTTTCACTTTTTATTAAAATGCCATCTAAGTAGGCGATCGCGAAATTTAGATCACTCAACATTATGTCCATTACTTGCTGAAAAATTCCAGGTGCTACCTTAATTCCGAAAGGTAATCTGTTAAACTTGTATAATCCAGTGTGGATATTGATTGTTAACAGTTTGGAACATTCTTCGTCAACCTGGATTTGCAATATGTGTCTGACAATTCCAACTTAGAAAAGTACTTTCCCCCATTTAACTTTGCGAAAATTTCTTCTGGGCTTGACGGGATAATTGTAAGTTTGTAGGCAATCATTCAGCCCTGTGAAAAAATCGGCACATACTTTTGTTATTTTTCTTTTTCACATAGACGGCCGGGGAAGCCCAATCGCTATAATCCACTTTGGAAATTACGCCCATATTTTCCAAGTGATCTAGTTCCTTGTTTATAATATCCACAGCTGAAAAAGACACGTTCCTCTTTGGTCTAAAAAATTGGTACCACATTTTCCTTTAACTGGAACTTACCGTTGGTTTTTGTGCATCTTCCTAACTCTCCAGAAAAAAAAACTTCTTCAGCGGCCCCTCGCCTTTTTTTTTTTTTTTTTAGCCTTTCAGAGTTACTAGATGAACCAACGTCTTTATTACAAAAAGAGTTTCTGGGAAAATCCCCTAAATTGAACAGTTACATCCAATCTGTTCCGAACAAGTTAAAAGTTCTTTCCATCGCGATTACCTATTTCCCATAAAAAGATACATATGACGTGAAGTCACCTTTAAATTTAAATTTTTGCCCAGTAACGCCGAGCATCATTTTTTGTTAATGTTAATCACGTCAATTAAAGACTTCTAGCAGCAACGAGAAAATTGGCCGCAGTCGTAGCTGGAAGGGAAAATAAGGATATAGTCAAGATGTTCACTTTCCATATAACATTAAACGAAAGAGTTAAGAAACTTCCATTAATACTAGAAAGAGTGATAAAAACGGATTTTTGAAGACTATTTTCTTGAAAAACTGTTTTCAGAAAAAAAACTTGATAAATTCCAACCGACAGTAACTATTCGAGCAAAGAAATCCCCATGTTTTCTGTATGCAAACGTTTAATTTCACAATTACCATTAACTTCAACGTTACCATTAATTTCACCATTACTATTAATTCACTATTACCATTAATTTTATCATTAACATTAATTTCCCTATTACTATTAATTTCACCGTTACCATTAATTTCACTATTACCATTGATTTTATTATTAACATTAATTTCACTATTACTATTAATTTCACTGTTACCATTAATTTCACTATTAAATTCACTATTACCATTAATTTTATCATTAACATTAATTTCACTATTACTACTAATTTTATCATTACCATTAAGTTCACTATTACTATAAATTCCCTATTAGCATTAATTTTATCATTAACATTAATTTCACTATTACTATTAATTTCACCGTTACCATTAATTTCACCATTACTATTAATTCACTATTACCATTAATTTTATGATTACCATTAAGTTCACTATTACCATTACAGTAAAAGATATAAGCATCCCTCGATTAATGCGTTTTCGGTTTCCGGGTTTAAATTGAGTGATGAGAAATGCAAATTTTTTCATGACGCTAAAATTTTTATATACCAAAATTTGATTAGTGCATATA